ACATTTGTCCACTTGTCTTCATTTTATGTATTCTGTGACATGTTTGATACATACTATCCGCTAAGTTACCTAGTTTCATCAAGAATCCTTTATAAGAGGCGACTTATAGTCAATGGATTTTTCTCGAACCAGATCTACATACGTGTACATGTAAATGTTATCTTAATATAATTTCCTCCACTTTTAACAGCAAATTTCTCATGCGCACTACAACAAATCTCACTTTCAACGTTTTTAACATGATTAGACGACTTATTTAACATAAAGTTAACCGATAAATTGTGTATTTATGTTTAATAATCCCGATGTTTGACTATAATTTCTTTAAAATGCTTCAATCAGACTTCTGAGCGGAACGTTGGATTTACTTAAAGTCCAGTAGCTGAGACTTTTAAAAATACGATTTTCCTCCTTAACAAGACGTTACAGTTCAGATTATGTTGACCGCAGATGCTTGATTGATAATAAAATACATTTAGTGGTAAAGAATGTTTTTCAGTCATTGAGACCAGTCGTTAGTGAATTTAAAGACCTCAATAATGGCATCTCCATCGTTCTCGAGTTTGATTTGTTCTCATGAAAATGTGACTAATTTATTATGTTCGGTTCTATGTACTTGGATTGAACAGAAAATTAGATACACTTTGCGTAAGTTTGTATGGCTTACAGTAAATTTTTAATGAGCTGTTTGTATATTGAGTAATTAGTCACAAATGAGTTATCTGTGGTCTTGTAAATAGTGTAAGACCCTAGCAAATAATATGACTGCGTCGATATACATTCACATCAAGTCTCACGTTGACTGAGACTTATTGGTTGACCATTAAATATGTTATCTTAGCAGTGTGTGCATTACCAGTAAACTGTATTAAGTGGGCTCTACTCAAATTTTCATGTGCTTGTCATCATTTAATCCGAAATATCCTCCTGCGTAAATATGATTTTCACAGATATATTCGAGACTTTCGGCAATTTTGAGTTGATTTTCAGTATAAAGATTATCTGTAAAAGTGCTTAATGATACTTATAAGTTTGGACACAGTTAATATTCCTCAGTTCCGACTCAATACGATGAACTTTGCTACTTCTATCCTCTTCTTCTCTGTCCTGCTAACTAAAGTAGGAAGACCAGCTTTGTGACGAAAGCTTTTTTGACGATTGTCCCTGTATAATTACATATACACTTAAGTAGGTCGGTTATATATAGGTTATGGTGATTAGAATTTATGGAGTGATTGCCACTAAACACAGGTCGTAGTAAAAATGCATTAAATGTCCATAAAGTAATGTAACAAAAATATGTTGAAAGTTGATCTTATATTCACCCTAAATCGACATATATTTTTCTTCGTAAATTGTATTTAGACAGCTCACATCCCCAACAGATTTTTAAAAACACTGATGACATAAAATTCACACTTCTTAGTTCCACATATGATTTGAAATTTCTAAATGTTGGCTGAAGCGTTCCACCGATTTATGTGGTTTGAAATATTTACGATACTCGGTTAGCAGTTGGAAATCAGTCATTCCTTCATCTTCAGTGATAAAAAGGTTCTTACCGGTCAAGTCTTTTATTGTAGTATGAGGTCGCAGTAAATGACCATCCTCAGTCATACATTTGCGTTTAAATTATTTTTTATTAAAACTGCACAAATAGCATAACTTTTCGTTTTATACTTCTGTTTATTGTGGTGATTTTGGAATGCATATATCTAATTGTTTTTTTTGCAATATCTAGTTGAACTGATTAGTTTATCCTTATTTTGTGCTGTTCAAAACTGGTCATATTCACTTTATAAAAGGTGTCTCGTAATGTTCATAAATACTAGACCTTCACTGCGTTACTTCCGATATGTTGCATCAGGTTTTTATTTTTATATTGTCTACGGTAATCCATGTTTTGTACCAAATATTTTTTCAACTCCCTAACATGTACTTTTGTGATCTCTAACTACTATTTCTTGGCGTCACTCTTTGTATTCCTGTTTTCGTTTTTCCACATTGTTTTTTAATGTATGACAACTGCACAGTATCTTACGTTATGTACGTATTAAATTGTCATCTTTTGGCACGTTATGAACTAATTTTGTAAGTAGGTTACATGAAGAATGTTTTGATGGCTGTCTTAGAAATAAACGGTCTTTTTCTAGGAGTCTAGTTGTTTATGTCATTCATAGCAGTCGCGATCTGTGTTTTCAAAGGGCAGTTTAAAAAGTTTCAGAAGTCTTTAGTGTTGCCATTAGGACTATACATTCTTAAAGTCCTACTGATAGCGTTCGTGAAACCCATTTTTTTGCTGATCGTTTTGGTGCTTAGTCATAGCTATCGTCGTTTGATGCTTTTTTAAGGTCTGAGTAATCATCATTGAGGACTTTCTATCTATTGTATGTTTGTTTAAATGAATTACATGAGTTAGAACCTAAAATATGCCTAGTACCAGCGATACCAACTGTTATATTCGCCCATTTTCTAATTGTCAGATCAGTAATAAAAAATAATTGTTATTTCATATCTTGATTCTTCAATTTTGTTTGCTGTATTGGTAATCATGGTGGTTCATTCTTATTTTAGAAAATTATTCGTCTTGATCCGCATATCGGTCTGCTACATCGTGGTACAGAAAAGTTGATTGAATACAAAACATACACTCAAGTAAGTATTGAAATTTAGTTCCGTCTGCTATTTAGCTCATTTTAAGCTCTGAACTTAGAGCTTAAGCTTGCTATCCCTTTTGAGGCATAGAGTGCTAATAAAGGGTTCTCCAAGAAACACTGATCTGGGCCCTTTTTCAGTTGTTGATAAGTGCTCTTCGTGGTCTTTATGCCTCAGATTCTCGGCGCCATGTGGTTTTTGACTTGATTCTTTTGCTTCTACCGCAAAAATTCCAAGTCACGTCCTGCCTTATGATGCATTTTAATGGTTTCGGTAGTGTGTCTTATCCACCTAGAGCGTCTCTTCCTAATTTGATTTTCAGCTGGTAGCTGGTTTATTCTCTGCTGGAGTGGGTTATTGTAGGTTGTTTCTGACCAACGGATCTCAGGTATTCTGAGTAGAGAGCTATTTACAAATATTTGTACGTTTTTGGTCATTAGTGGTGGTAGTTGTTCAAGTTTCAGCTCCGTACAATGTAACTATTTTAACGTCAGTGTTGAAAATTATGGCTTTAGTTTTGGGTGACAGTTGTTTTGAGTTCCAGATATTCTTCGATTGTAGGAATGATGATCTTGTTTGGTAAATTGTGATTTGATATCTGCACCAGATCTTCCTCGTTTATCAATGATACAGCTCATTTACGTAGAGACTTTCATTTCTTCTACAGTTTCGTCTCTAATTGAAACTTGTTTGGTGCTGTGTTGTACTTTCGAATCTTACTTTTCCTCTTTTGATTGTTGAGGTTTATTTCTACAAAATCTGCTGCTGCATTGACTGTTTTGATCTGCATTTGTTTCTGTGTATGCGAAATCAAGGCTGTTTTCTGCAAAGTTTAAGTCATCTAGCCGTATCCAAGGTATCAATTTCACTCAACTTCTTTCCTGAGCCGAATACGTCTTCATAATCTAGTCAACAGCTGACAGAATGATGATGATAATTTTCCCAGGTACTCTATATTATCGAAAAAGTCCATACGGTTTTCATATCCACGCTTTCGAATGCTTTCTGATAATTGAGGGTTTTGATTTATAGTGGTTGGTTCATTTCGATTAATTGTTCTAAAATTATTTTCACTGTCGCGATTCGATCATTATATAATTGGTTCTTACGAAAGCTTGCTGCTCTTTAAGGTAAGAGTCAACTAAATCTTTCCTTCGGTTAAGAAAAACTCGAAAAGGTTGTCTGCTACTAATGGTAGTGTAATCACTGTATTTTTCACATTTACTAAGATCTTGTTTTGAGATATTAATGAGGCATCACTCTTTCCAGTCTGTTAATTATTGTTCTTCCTCCCAGTTCTTCCACGTAGTTCCAATAGTCATCTCACATGCTCTTCTTTATTCATTTGTTTGCTTGTGTATATTGGGCCTGTACTTCAACTTTCCATTCTGTTGTTTGGCTGTTGTTGACTGCTTCTTAGTTTTCCTTTTTTCAGTCTTACCTGGTCTGTATACAGAGATCCGTTGTTTATGCTGGTGCCCTCTGAAGCCAAGCACCCCCTGACATATGGAAGATATTGCTTCTTTAGTACCTTTCTAGTTGTTCTCCATATTGGTTTCCTCTACTTCTAGTAGATCTTGTAAGGTCTGAAACTTATTGAGAATAAGCCTGAATTATTAGTGTGGTCACTATCAGGTAGTGATATGAAACTCTATCAACTCCTTGTGTATGCGAAGCATTTTCTTCTTTACGATCAGTGTACAACAGCATCTCTCGAATCTAATCTCTGTTCATCTTGGGTCCGATTGATTTCACCTATTCCGATAACCACCGAGTTTTATATTCTCATTTGCGCAGTTATTTGATTGACCCTCTTGGTCACCCATATTGTCAGGACATTTCATGTACCTATATTAATTGTTGCTCTGGTTATTAGAAGAGGCATCGACTTCGTGATTTCCAAAATGTCGGCTTTCACCATGATGTATCATAATTCTTCTAAATGAATATCGTTCAACTCACAGATAAGAATTTAAATGGTTTGATTTGTTTATTCTGGTCAGCGTTTTTTAGCAAGGTTGTTTTCTACGAGATGGGGTTTTGGACCCCATGCATAGTCCTTCTTTATTTGGAATTTGGACCGTCAGTAACTCTAGAAGGGTTGCAGCCGGAGTTATTTACTGAATAGGCATATAAACATGATCATAATAATGCAAAACTCGGGAAAATTTCAAAGGTATTTTTATAGATTGTGAACTGTGTACATAGCTAAGAGTATTTGATAGTATTATGGTAAATAGCACAATCCTATTTATTAGATCGAAATTTTGTTGGAATGTAGCCACTGTTTCTGTTTTCTTATTCAGGCTTTGCCTTATTTTGACCGACTGGATTATGCCTCCATGATGTGTAACGAACAGTGTTATGCATTGGCCGTGGAGAAGTTACTCAATATTGAAGTACCTCCCCGTGCAAAGTATATACGAAGTTAGTTGAATATATATATATATATATATATATATATATATATATATATATATATATATATATATATATATATATATATATAGTTTATTGTTTTTCATTCTGTGCTGAAATTGTCATTTCCAGCCAACATCGAGATCTGCAGGACAAACGAACTACATGTGGAGAAATTCGAATACTTCGCTTCTATCGGAAGTTTGTGCTGATGATGTCGTTCAGAAGAACGATGAAAGGTCCACGACCAAACCATCCAGCTCAGAGAACAAAACTCCATCAAAATTGTCATTTTTATGATAAAAGTATGGTAGTTTGTTGTTTAGTGTTTGCATCTATTCGACGCCCGTCATTAGTCGTCTATTGTTTGCACCAGATGATCCTCGGTGAAATAGTATGAAGTTTTTATTGTGTTCGGTGTATCCGAAGTAGAATGTACGATCATCGTGGGATTATAATGAGCCATAATTGTTTTGTAAAATTGATTCCACTGTGCAGCAACATCTGAATTTTGATTATTTTTCATAATAAATGCTCAGTTAAGAAGTGTATATACACAAACCCTCGTACTTTTAGGTCAAACTATAAGTTCGGTTATTTGGATCAATTACGCAATCAATTACACAATTATATGGATATTCTACCGGTTATATTTCTTGTTCATGTCTTGGTTTTCCTTTTCTTAATGCAAAGCAGTATTGTACTCATCTCGTATAATCACGGTTATATCTTTTATATATGATTTTCCGTGAAGCATATTTAGGTCATGGAAAACTTCACAGTAATCGTTCAAGATGATGATGTGTGTGATATTTCAAAGCTATAGTGCTTATGACTTTGGTATATTGTTGGATGTAACATACTTCCCATTTTTGTCATTTCTTGTCCCGCTTTACATGTATAGGTTTGTAGGTCTAATTCTAACCATACCGGTTTTGTTTACTTTTGATGCTTTATTATACAATTCTCTCAAAGGTTATTTATTAATTGATTTATCAATTAATTCGCTATTCTTATTATATAGAAGTTAAATAGATGGGCAAGTGTTATAAAACATAGGTTTGTTCTCTTTTTTTAATCTAGCTCTTTATGCTGAAATAACTAGAATATTGAATCACTGTTTAGCTGTTGGTTCCACTGTTCTGGATATTGGAGCTATAACTCCAATCTTCTGGTTGTTTGAAGAACGTGAAAAAATGTTTGAATTCTATGAACGTGTGTCTGGTGCTCGTATGCACGCTGCTTATATTCGTCCAGGAGGTGTTTATTTAGATATGCCACTGGGACTGATGGATGATATTTATCAGTTCATACAAAAATTCCCCCAGCGGTTGGATGAAGTAAGTTGTATGCCATCTTGATTTGACCTATTATTCACTCCTATTTCATTCGTTCCTTTTGTTCTTGGCTTTACTTACCTGTTCTAAAGTTAGACACCTGTTACTCGACATAATTTTGGTGCTGCAGGGTTTCAAAATTATGAGTAGACTATATTCATGCGATTTTTTGACGGAAATATTGAATGTAACCTTCCTCAGGCAGATGTCGCTTGGGCTTTATGGTTGCATGTTCGTGTATGTTCGTTCATCGATAACAAGATTATTTTTAAGACATAACAAGATGATCTTCCGCGATATTGGCTTTCTAAAACCGTCAGTTTCTGTCTAAGTTCAGTTAACTTCAAGTCCCCCACTGCTTGAATAATCTCACCTGTCCAGTATGATGAATTTGTACATTCCACTTGTAGAATATCAGTCGTCTTATTACTGAGCGTTTTCTATCGACTCCAAAAACAGGAAATACGATATTCGGTTTCATTCTGGTCAGTAAGTTATATTCATTGTCCTTTTGAATGTTCCTGTAAAAACCAGTACGTATTCATCTTTAGTTGTGTGAAGATTTTGCGTATATACTGACTTAATACACTACTGATTGGGTAAAAAGTTAACTATTGGAAATTGTTCGGACCTATTTGTCGTAAGGAGTGCTTTTCCCATGTAAGTATTGTTTGGAAATAGGTTGCTTATCGAAATTTCAACCCGAATCAACAAATAGTAATTTCTACTTCTAACTTTAAAGATTTACGCACGAATAAATTAGGCGCCATGAATCTTGAAGCCTGGATTTTTATTCCCCAGAGACACTAAAAACTATAAGTACACATTATTTTTCTTCTTTTAACGTCGGTTGTATAAAAACCTTTTTGAAACTTTTCCTTGGTAGTCGTGTTCTGAGTTGAGAGTCACTGGGGCGTAGTGCTAGTTCTGTTGATGATAACTTTCATGTTACGTTCATTAGTGCGTTGGTATTCTGATTTTTATAAATAGCGACGAGTCATTCAAAGTATTGATGTTCTTGTGAACAAGAGCGTCGAGTAGTATAATGTTAAGAGATTAGCGGTCTCTAATTAAAATTGTGTTTCTAAAAATTTCTGTTCTTTGTGTCGAGTTTCAGTCTAAAACATCGATAAAAATGCACTCATATCTAACTAAAACTGATATCAGTGTATCGGTTTATATAGATAGATCATAGTTTGTCAGGTATTTTTGAAAATGATCGCCGAATTTTGTTGTGCCGCTGTGCATCACTAATAGTATGCTTATATTTTCCCCCAAATAAATACAGAAAACATCTTTTTGAAACTTCGAACAATAATAAACCAATCAAATCTACATTTTGGTCATAATCAGATGATGGGTTGTTGAAATGTGACTTCGCTTATCATCCCTACGTAGCTTGTTGTGTCTCGTCTACTGTAATACTGGGGTTTGATAAATCAACATAATACAGTAAGAAGTTCTAGAATTTTGTTGCAACTAATCGATAGGCGAACAGTAAATTCAGGTGGATGCAGACGACATTCAGATGAATTAGTTCAAATACAAAGCAACACAGTCCACATCGTAACCATAATCAAATATGAACATCAGAAACAAAGTAAACAGAGAGGTGATGGTGGTAAATAAGTAGTAATTGGTCTCAGAGGACTGGATATAAACACTGCTACACCTGCAGGGATGGGTTAGTATCCACCCCAAGGGCACGTAGCCATAGCAATTAGGAGGATAGTTTTAAATACAACCGGTCTGGGCCTTAAATTTTAGTATATGATAGAATAAATCTCCTAGCATTCATATTTTTCTCCCATTTCTTTGTCAAACTTTTAAGTCCAAGTGAAAAGCTTCCTGAATGCGTGATTCAAATAGATCTTTCTAAACATTTTTAATGAATTACTACCATGATTTACATTGCAAAGTACGATATTATCGGCGCGCATATCAACAAACTTCTTATTTTGAGTATTTAATAGCTCCATTCGCTGGGCTTTTGTCAAATTATTCAGTGGTTTTATTAGTTTATTGATGTAATTTCTAATATGCTTACAATGAAACACACGTAGTAGTTGATTTTTAATTTGAATTTAGAGAGGAGTCCCTAGAACTGACAAACAAAATCGATCATCTCTCTGAGGCTAGTTTATAATTAATTTGTTTACGCTGTACTAATCAGTCCCAATCCCTTCGTATCTTGTATAGAACTGAAGAATGAAGGACAGAATATGAATTCACTATGTACTATGAACATTTTATCGTCCTTTCTTTATCGTTGATTATATTCCAGTTGTCACCTGAATCTATTGATTTGTTTTGGTAGTATTGCGTTCTTTGAGCTATATGGCTTAATTGTGAAGCTTTCATTGTCATTATGGACAACATCTCATGCGCCTAATTTATGTAATGGGCTCCACAATTAAACCATCTGGCCCACTGAATGTAACACCACAAAAAGTATCCACTTGAACTACAAAATCCCCATCATTATTGGTTTGTATTTGATTTGATTGATCAGATTAGCGATTTATTGTTTGATAATCCCATTTGGATTACTCGCACTAAAGATGTTGGTATTGTTAGCGCTGAAGATGCTATAGATTTGGGATTCTCGGGGGTTATGCTTCGTGGGAGTGGGATTAAATGGGATTTACGTAAAACACAACCTTATGATGCCTATGAAGATATGGATTTTGATGTACCAGTTGGTGTTCATGGTGACTGCTATGATCGGTTAGTTAATTACTGTCTACAGTGTATAAATTTCCTTGACAATTTTTAAATATATTAGCGTGATGTATTCTTGAATTTATTTTTTGTTGGAATTATTTTCTCATAACGTAATCAAGTTGACGGAAAACGGGTTACTATTTATAAAATAATTTTCTAAACTAAGATATATAATTCTAGTCAATATGTCTAGTGAGCTGTCTTTCTCAGACCGGAATTAATGGTTATCTGCTTTGTAAGTCACTGATATGTCAATTAATTAAGACCTAACCCCTAGTTTTACTTTTACCCATCATATCACCCCTAACAAAATGATGCGGGACTCGAAAACATTGGTAAAACAGTTTTTTTTACCGTACCTTTAAATACTGTTGTTGTTATGTAATTTCAACTTAGTCATATCACACTGTTTAACCTAAAGTTTAAAGACTATCTATCAAGAGATCCTGATCTGTTACATTAATGCTAGTCTTCAAAAACCTTTTGCGGTGGACTTATAATCGTAAGGTCAAAAAGATGGATACAACCTACACACAAACCACAAATCACACTAAAGATACCCAGTAGTTATCCTGTTGTAGATTTCTTTTTACATTCTTCATAATTAGGAAACCTATGTTTAAGGGACATGATTTCTATTTTAGTTATATTTTTATTTAAATTATTTCTGTCAATATTTACATTGTTTTTCTCTTTTTACTCTTTTTTTGTTGTTCATTTCATCAATCGTCTTTGTTTTTAATAATAAACTAATAAATAAGCGAACAGAATTTTCACTGGACGATTTCAAATTTGACGTTCACGGATCAAAAGTGGATAGTTAAATTGCATTGTAAAATTCTTTCCTTGACATTTAGACATACAAATTGGAATACAAATTTGGAATTTAGGTTCACTCCATACTTTTTGTTTTCCCATCTCATATGAACTTTTTAAAATATATTGTTCACACTTAAATTCCCCACTTTATTGTATATTACTACTATTTCCTTTCTTAGTGTACAAATGTGAGATTGTGACAATTTGAATCAGCATATCATTCGCAGCAGGTTTTGAGGTATTGTATGACTAATTGACCAAGCTCAGACTTTTCCTCTTTGTTAAGTGCATTATAATGAATGTAGGTCTATGTGTGAATAAAAGAAATAATCAAGACGAGACCATAATTTATGGATGAACTAATAAGTTTTAAGATAGTGAGTTTCGGGTTTTGGCGCAATATTCATTAATCCATATGGTTAAATATCATTTTGGAATTATAGATAATATCATTTCGTAATATAGACTCTTACTCTTATTCCTAACCATAACTCTAAATCCCGATTTTGATTTCCCATACTAATTTACAACTCTCTTTAGAACCGAGTAGGTTGGTCAGTTTTCTCACGGTCATTTTGATGTCTCCCACAGGTCTTTCATAAATTATGGTCTCACTATAGTCACTACTTTCAACTGTCAATTGTTCTATTCTATGTATGTGGTTATAGATCAGACGCAATGAGTGTACATTTTCCTGAGCAATAATTTTAGTATATGGATTTCTTTTTGAAATAATCTAATCACTAGTGTTTTCTTATTTAACAATTAAGATTTATAGTACGTATGGAAGAAATGCGTCAATCATTGCGTATTATAGAACAATGCCTCAATAAAATGCCCAAAGGTGAGATCAAAGTGGATGACGCCAAAATTTGTCCACCTAAACGTGCTGAAATGAAAAGTTCTATGGAAGCTCTTATTCATCATTTCAAACTATTCTCAGAAGGTTACTTGGTGTGTTTTCTTAATTTTTAAAAATACTTTTGTTTGTTTTTATAGTAAATGCTTCTATGAATTCGGTGTTCATCTTGTTGTGCTAATGAGGTATGACAACTTGGACCGATGCATATGTGTACCTGGTCCTGGTCCTACGTTATAGCTGACTGACTGTCTATAGTGGTTTCATGGGGATTGTTAAGTTTTCATTGTTTTAATCACGGGTTGATCTTAGCTGAACCACTATTGGAGACTAGAAAGCACTGAACGACCATTTTGTCCTAGCATGGGACTCTTCGACAGTGTGCATCTATCACACCACTAAGGATCGCCCTTCAGTTTGACAAGCGAGCGCTTCGTCTCTTAACCATTCAGACGAAATTCAATGATGTACATATCTAACTAAAGTCAATGCAGGATGTTTCACGACCATCTTTCATTGACTGAGGTGGATAATTGTCTTCCACTTGACATGGCTGAACTTCATTTTTCACGACTTTCCACTAGAACTCCGGGGTCTCGATGTAGGCTATTCTCTGATGAGGACGGAATTATTATTAGTATAAAGGTTTCTCATAGTTCTCGGTTACATGTTTAAAGAATTTATTTTAGAAACATTTTGCTCGATTTATTAAAATTTTCCTATGATTTATCCTAATTTTATTTTCAAAATTTAATCAGCAATGTTTTTCAACTTCTATCAAGGTACCACCTGGATCGACGTATACTGCTATTGAAGCTCCGAAAGGTGAATTCGGAGTTTATTTAGTCTCCGATGGTACAAACAAACCATACAGATGCAAAATTAAAGCTCCAGGCTTTGCTCACTTGGCGGCAATAGATAAACTTTGTCGGGGTTTTATGTTACCCGATGTAGTCGCAGTTATAGGTAACAATTCATTGTGTTTAATTTTGATATTGTTAATAATTTTTATGAATATTTTATATTTAATGTTTTAGAATTTTTAATGTAAGTGATTAAAATGAACATTTTTCAAAGGATAAGTTTCTGTTTATCCTTTTTGATGATTTTGAACTCTTAGTTTGTTTTGGTTGAATTGATCCATGTTCACAGGGTGCTTAATTATGAGGTTTCCTATGGAATTTGTATTTTTCTTTGAATGTTATATGTGTATCAATAAATATCGGTGGATATCCACTTTTGCTGAGTTATTTCTATCACAGGTCGTTTAGGCAAACAGACTCGACATTGAAAGTCATTAACAAGGTGAACAAAAACCTGTCAACTACAGTGAGCTTAAATTTTCTTAGCATTACTGAAACATTCGACATACATTTAGGAATTCTAGAACTGTGTACATAGTGGATGTTTACTAAGAAATTATGCCATGCGAAGTATAAAAGTAAAATTATGGAAGAGGGAAACAAGACGAAATGCTCATTTTAATATTAAAAGATAGAGGACGAGATGAGTAATAGATGTAATTCGTGGAGCTCATGTTAAATTTCTATTTGCCGTAATATTTATTTAAAAAAGATTTAACAGGAACTTGCATTAACGTCAATACTGACCACAAGTTATCTCTGATAAATAGCTTGTCATCCGACTATTGTGATCCTTCGATCTCAGAAAATCATTCTTTAAGATTTAATTGTTCTTTGTTTCCGACCGTTTCGTATCAGAAACTAGTCATTACTTTTACCAATCAATTATGTCTAAGCTGAATTAGCGATCAGTTAATCAAAAACCATTCTTTTCTAAATAGGCTTAGACTACTTAATCATATTTAAATAATATATTGAATTAAAAACAATAAATGACTCCAGAAAGCGTCAGATAATGATATTGACGTTTAGACTTGAACACAATAGTTAAATCTAACTCTGTACATTTCTTTCCTATAAATAGTCTAAATACTACCCTTTTGAAGACAAACCCTATGATGATTTTAATTTTGTTGGTGTGAATTGAATCAATAAATGTAATGGTTTCGGTGTTCACTTGCTTATTTCAGCTATATACTACTGGTTCCAATTATCATTTTTTCCTATCAAAAGAATATATGTATTAGCAAATAAAACAAATAATTGATTTATAAAACAAATCTTCCAAAGAAAGCAAAATGTGTCAGTATCAATACTTCGCTTATTTCCCCTCGACGTTATTTGTGATCAACTTGCGTCCTAACAGTCTGTAACTACGTTCGCTTACTGAAGTCATTAGATAATCTAACAAATTACATTTCTGACCTACACCGTTTACCTTAAGCCAATGCCAACCGAACTCGTTTTGCTTCGCTATACTTTGGTCTTTCTCTTTCCTCAACCTTGAGTCCAAATTAATTATTTGATAATTAAGGGAAAAAATTCTAAGTTTCCTTCAGATAGGACAGTTCCGAATGATCGATTTTTTCCAATACCCGTCCAGTTATAACAATAATGTTAATCATATTAATGACTATTCAATACTGTATGTTTAGTACAATGTGGAATTTTTAGAATACAATATTTCGACAAGTTACTCCTACTCTTGTTATATATATATATATATATATATATATATATATATATATATATATATATATATGGATGAAATGAGTAAATAGAATTCTATTGAATCGAAGTATTTGTAGAAAAGAAATTGGAATTTACATAACTGTGAATTTACAAAATGATATACCATATAATTTTGTGTGAATTAGATAAGTGATATGATTTCCAAAGAAAATTTAGTGAAATCTAAACTTCAACATTTAGATTCATTGATAATTAACTCACAGTGTTTATTTATTTACTTACTTTTTATGCTTCCATTTAATAACTGCAATGGTTTAGGTACTTTGGATATTGTATTTGGGGAAGTGGATCGATAGACCTGTATATCAATTAGTAAACAATTTAAGAAGATTAAAGTCAACCTGTTTCTTCTTTTAGTAATATTGATTTAATATGTATTTCAATAAAAAGAGAGAAGAACTTTCGATTGTTTTGCTTTTATTACATTGACTGGATTGTTGTTTGTTGAATGTGAAAATATACTAATTTGTCTACATGAATATTTTCAAAATTTGTGTAACATCAGTTGTAAACATAAATTACAAGCTTCTAATGATTTCAGAGCAAATTTAATTAACAACAGTGTATTCGCTATCATGACTGACTTGAACAGTTTATAAATAAATACCCCATTTTTATTCTAGTAAAATAGTTTATTGATAGGTTGAATAGGAATCTTTTCGCACCTATTCCTACCTCGTTTAGATGTAATCAGGTTACGTCAACAGCATTGGACAGCATGTTTTGGTACAAAATGTTATTTATAGATTAAAATTAAACCATTCACCAGGTACTTAGCCATGAGTCGTACTCTAAGTGTAGGGTCTAATGATACTATGCGAATCCCCATACCGAAGTAGGTGGAGAGAGGTTTGAACCTTAAACTCAGTCACCAAAAGTCAAAACCATTAACTGCCACCATATAATGTTGTAAGATGTGCTGTATGCTTTCATGCCTACCGGGAGCCACATTGACGTCCTTAATCGGTGCAATTCCAGTCGCGGTACAATCGCCGAACTTTAGCAGATAGAAGACCACCAGGAAGCGTGCTAGCCTTAATATACAGGCTCTAAAAAGTGCATTTGGGGTATCAAGGCCAGTCGTGCTGCATGTTACTCTTTGACCATTACTCTAAATTGTTCCCACCAAGCCTTACATGTAACTGTTTTGACCAGCTTGATTTGGCCCTATCAAAAGATTGTATACAAATCTGATTTAGGCATAAAACAGGTTACACTGTGAAAGAAAGCAAGACAATGCTCAAGTGATGGCTATCCAGTAAATTGGAGGGAGGATAGCAAGAAAACCATGGATTCAATTAGTCTGAAAAGGTGAAATGGGATGACAAGACCACTTGAAGCGATTGACGTATCCATTAAAGAAATTGTGTGATTGGTTGGTAACCTCAACCATGAGAAAACGCGGAAGTCGGGCGATCCATCAGCCTCAACGCATTTTGATGGATAGCTCTCAGGAACAATAGATGAAGTAGCTTCTGTCCGAAACTATGGTGTGTCATTTCCATATGTTGTTACGGCTCATGGGTTTTGTTAGATATTTAGTAGATAGTCATAAAGAGCCTATGCATGATCTTAGTGGCAACAGTCCTTGTAACTAAACAGAATACTGAGATAGTAAATTCTTTCCGAATAATGTGTGAAGGTTACTACTCCGTCAATAACGAAGTAGGTCAGTGCAAGGGCCGTTAATTTATTATGTACACTAGATACAATGTTTGGAATCCAACTGTTCGTTGTGTTAAGTTCATACACTGCATGATGTAATTGTTTCGTTAGCTTATTTAGTTTGCACTATTGGTACAAATATCACCAAATCGTCTCCATATACGATATAATCGAAGTGTCCACTTTGACAGTGAGATAAAATTAAACTTAAACTGTACACAAGTTTTGTGCATGTTTGCGTTTATTATCAAGTCCTATATGAAATCCAACGGATATATAAATTTACGTTTGCGCCGTCGTTTTCAGATACAGTCAATAATGTATCCAGATTGTAGTTCAGTTGATCACGAGACATAATGTTCTTAGCATGAAGCTCATAGTTAATTAGTGGAGGTTAACTATCTTGTTAGATTCAATTATTTTCGACAAGTTATTTCAGTAATCTTTCTTTTTATCAAATATTTGCTTATAATGGTTGAATAATCATTTTGATTGTTTTTTGTCATACTTTTAAAAAAAATCTCCGATTATAGGATCGTTATGGATTACGATAAGCTCTCTACCCAAACAAAATGTCTTCTTCATACAGTCTCAGAAAGTATTGGTCAATTAGAAAATATGATACATAGTTTAAAGTCAAGTTTGGAACTGGATGAAATAAATAAATTGTATTACAGCTTAAAACAAGATATACAAAATGTTTGTTCATTTTTTGTAAACAGTGATATGTTGTTTATTGATGCAACGATTTGTCCTGTAGTTTTTTGATTATAAAGTAAACTTGAATGAAGATCGTGCTACACCACAAATCGACTGGATTTAGAAATGACAATCATTGGATTTCGACTCAGTAAATAAATAGTATAGTGTTGACTTTAGGTCACTTCCAATCCACATTATCGCTTAGCAGTCTTCAACTCAAACTAAATCTGTTCTAATCAATTCTTGATCCAAACGATGTTACTACATGATAAAAATCAGCAGTTAATTATAAGCGTAGGTAAACATAAAATCAGTTCGATATAGTTGGACAGGTAAAACTGTACCAATTAATAAGAAACAGCTTCCAACCAACCAATCTAATACAAAAACTAGTTACTCATCAGTAATATAGGTGTAATACAAATCCTACACCATCTTTCAGACGTGCAAATCGCTTAACCATATAGGTATATTGTGAATCTGATAAATTGAAATAAAACACATAAAGGGGTGATAGATATGATCTTTATTTGTGTGCTAAGTCAACATTAAATGTTACCCATGAAACGTATAATTAACGACTGATTTGTCCAACATGTGCAGATTTGTTTTGGACATAATAAATTACTGAAGATGACTAATTATTATTCACTATATGATCCTTTTTATACTATGTGAAGAAATGTCAATTTACATATTTATGTAACTACGGTATCCAAAGGAAGTCCCCATAAGAGTAATTTAGCATTCATACTATTTTCAATATCTTTTATTTATTTCACAGGGTTCAATATAGTATGAAACGTTTTGCCGAATAGTTGATATGATTATTTATTAGTAGTATGTCACTCCTGCCTTATCTAAATTTATTTCGATTATAATGGTTTTACTTTTTTATTTGACTTATTACTTAATTCATTTTATAATATATTTTAAGTTGTTTTAGCATATGCGCTTTGTGGGGATTGTTGAATTTCATAGTTTGCTTGGTATGTAGACCCTACTTAGATAAATGTTTCTTTGGAATCACACAAGAATTCTTCGATAAAGTATTCAGAAAATAAGAAAAGACTGAAAATTATTGTTCTTAATAAGCTTATGTCACAAAAGCTGAAAGCATTCCGTCCAATCAGCTTACCGTATGAAAACGTCTAGGAAATTAACAGATCATGTTTCAAACTCTGATTAGATGATTACTTACTCTGTTTCTTAATTTAGGATGTTTCCAAAAGTTGACAGAAGTTTTCAATAAACCCAGAAATACTATTGCTTTCTGGACATAAAGGAACCTTGAAACAAAGCTTCCCTTTTTACTTCGTGCCTTTTCTTTACCGTTCGGGACTTAAGTATCGGAGTATTTAAGAAATCTGGGAAGGGACTAGGGAGTTGGTATCAAGGGTTCTCATGGAAAATGTATCGTATTATAAACCGGGATGCATTAAGCATTATTTGACACTGACAGGACCGTGGACTACTGAGAAGTTTCGTACTAGAGTGGAATATCTGTTTAGCACTTCTTTGTTTTCAGTGGTTCCCAAATAACATCAACTCTCAGAAACTATATAAACTAGTTGCTCATAATTATAGATTTATATCTTGGTTACTTGTCTGTATGTTTTCCCTATGGGAATGCAAGGTCACTGTAATTAAAGCTTGAATAATATCGGAAACATTAGCAATTATCTATCGTTTTAACATCCAGTTTTATTCCATATTTATATTTAATTAAATTATTTACATTCTTCTGTTATTTTAACGTTTTTTAACATTGGTGAAGCTTTTGTTAGTCTTCCCGGACAATACCGTCAGTAAAAGCTTTAGAAAGTAGTTAACTATTAGAATTCCTTTGTAGGTGACTAACAATTGGTTATTCTGTTGACAGTATCTGATTGATTCTTGCCAATATTTGTGCTGTCATTTATCGTTTGTCTGTTTATTTCAATTATTTTAATCTCCTAACCTGATTCTTGTTGATTATTATTTCTCCGATTGCTTGAGTAGTGATAGCGTTCAACTGTATTCCACTCAGTCTCAAGTTCAGAGTTCGTTTCTTCTGCTACCGTATCTGTAATTGGATTGTATCACTAACCCTTACAATAAGAGTATGACTCATCATATGAATCTATATCTAGTCAATGAGTACTAGTTTCTCCATAAACTGCACCAATTTCAGTTGAAATTTCAGCAGTTCACTTTCGATTTTGTGCTTAGGGTTTTATTTAGAATGACAATAATACCTTCACAAGTGAAGCATGCAACATGAAGAATACTTGATGAAAATTATCCTTTCAACGTGTGAACCTCATTATACTTAAGATCCCACATCTTTATTTTCACAGTATAAATCAAGAATTGATTTTAGCTAAACCTCCATCGAAACCTGTGAGCTCCGGGTAAATATACCGCCCGAGTATTGGACTTCTCATTAGTACTCGTCCACAACTCCATATCTAGAAATAGAACCCATGACCTTCAACATCGTGCTCAAAACACTTAACCTTGAGACCACTGAGGTGATATCCAGTGATGTACATATCTAAATTTAATCAGTTTACGGTATTGCAGAATCGTCATCCCTTTTTTGTGGTGGATAGCTGTCTCATACTTGACATGGCCGGACTCCACTATCATCAATATATTTGGATACTTGGACTGCAATCCAGTTGTGTTCAACAAAGCATTTTTTTAGTATAAGATATGTGATTCCTAACTTTTCATGTAACTCAACTTTAACGTCCCACCCTTGATAGGTTTGTATCTAACCTAAAGTTACGTTGTATGTAAAGTGTTGTGTGCATAGCAACATTTCTGTATCTGAAAAAAAAGAGTTCCGTTGACAACTTAATAAGCACCTAAAAGGCATTGATTTCTAGTGATGAAAGCAATCGAAAACAATTAACGATGATACTAACGTGAAATTCAGATAATC